GTTTCCTTTTTTCACCTGAGGGTCTTTTATTGCGTTGTGCAATTTCACCTCTCGTCAGTATATATATATATATTTTTTTTTAATGATTTTGGTGGTCGTCTACTTTTTATGATTGTTTTTTTTTTTATAATTTTTTGTCCTTTAGTAGGATTGGTAGATTTACATGTATGTGTGTGTAGATTTTTTGTGTTCGTTGGGTTGAAAGTTTTTTTTTTCTTTTTGTTTCTCGGAATTTGTGGATGTTAATTTGCTTTGCTTTTTCAATATTATTGTTGATCAAACTTTGAGGGTATTTTCTCTTGACGAGTATTTTTTTCATCTCTTTTAACCTGTGGTCTCTTGTGGCCGTGTTTGAAACTATTGTAAGTATCCGCTTGATTAGGTCGTGTGGGATATTGATACGAGTGTGTTTTGGGTGGAAAGATGTAAAAAGGAGATACTGTTGAGAATCAGTAGGTTAAAATATATCTCGGTTTAAAGTTTAGTGTCTGTTTTTGTTATTAATATGTCTAAAAAGGGAATTTTTTTGTTGCTGTACTCCATAGTGAATTAGATGCTAGTATTTATATTATTAATGAATGTTTAAAATATCTTTAGCTCATCCAGGCTTTCATTTCACAGGATGAGACAGTCATCTAGATACCTTTTCCATTTATCTTTTAGGTTACAACTGAAGTCATTCTCATAGATTTTCGAGGATCTTTCATAGATTTTTAGTTCATGGAAACCCATGACTAGGTTGGCATATGTGGGTGCAACCTTTGTCCACATGGATGTTCCTGATTTTGTCGGTAGGGTGATTCTTTGAGCATGAAATAGTTGTTTTTTTAAGATGAATTTAAAGCTTTCCATGGTGAAATTGCCTTTGACACGAATGGTAGATCGTGGGGAAATGTTTTTAGCCAGTATTTAATGGTCTCTTTTCCGTAGTCATGTGGGATGTTATATAAGTTCACAACATCAACTGAGATCATATAAGTATTATGGTTTACCTCGTTGGGCAGATGATTCTGAAAATTTAAATAATCTCGAATGAAACTCCGAACGTTTTTGATAAGAGGTTTCAAGATGTCTCGAAAATTACTTACTGTGTCTCACAACTTAGCCCTGCTATTATAGGCCTTAGTTTTAAGTCAGTTGCTGCGGTTATATTCAGACAATAAGTTTTTGTAGTATTGCATGTTTGGTTAATGAGCTTACATTTGTGTATTTTAGGTAGTCTATAAAAATAGCAAGTTTATATCTAAAATTTATAAAGTAGTCATTTTCCTTAGAAGTAAGACAGCCTCTTTATGTGTGTGTTAAATTGATAGGTTCTTGTGAGGTTGGTATTTTCTGGAATCGTCATGTACTATATTGTGTATGATGATTGTATCCATAATAAAGACGCGCCTCTTTCGTCCACTTCTTTTATAACAATATTTTTGTGGAAATTTTAAGTCGTTTAGTTGGTTTCATTGTTGTCTGGGTGAAGTTAGACTTTGTGGCATTTCCAGTTTGTCACATGGGAAGTTAAAGAAGAATTTACAGATTTCCTTAATGGCCGCATTTTTGTTTTTTTACCTTTTGGGGGTTGATAACCCTTTTTGCTTTTTTTTTATTACCGATTTATCATTGTTTTCTTCCTAAAAAATGTTCTGCTAGCCTGAGTTTTTTACAGAATTCCGAAATATCATATTTCATTTCTGATACATTTGGTTTTTGGAGTGTTGGTGTGAATTTTAGTTCTTTAAATAGGATGTCTATTTCTGTGGATGTTAATGGTATTTGGGAAAGGTTGATTACTTCCGGTTTCTCATGTTTGTGTACCATCCCGTGTCCATGAAGTTCGGGTTTCTCTCTAAAAACGGTTATTAAGGTGAGATTCTTTACATTGTTTCTGATGACGGTATTTTTCTTTTGTTACGGTATTTGTGATTATTGTGTATTTTTGTATTGTATTTGTTGTTCTGTCCTTGGTACTTGTTTATTACATGTTGTCTTTCGTTCAGTCTGTGGTTATTTCTGTAATTTCAATTTTGTGGTCTCTTTGCTTCAAAGTTGTAGTTTCTATTCGTTGCTCTCTTGTTATATATATTATCTATGTGGCTGTTTTTTTTGTGTGGTGGTATTAGCTTTGTCCAGAATTCCTGACGTATATCCAAAGTTTGATTGTGTTACCTCCCCTTGTTGGTCTGTTTATCTATTGGAATGATTATGGTTTTCTTGGAAGATTTCTCCTTTACCTTTTGTTAAACTTTTGGGATGAATTTTGTCTATAGTGGGATTTTCCTTTTATGATGTAAAAATTGGTGTAGCGTAATGTTGGCGTGATTTTCAATATGGATGTTTTTTTTATTTTCTTAATCACTGGATATTCTTCGTTGTATCTTATTTTAAATTGTTCTTCATAGTTTGAGAGCGAGTTTTCGTTTTTCTACCATCTCTGTAGAGATATTCCTTTCTCGTTTTCATATTGATACTTTTTTTTCATTGTTTAGAAATGACGTCTAGTGAATCTTCATCGTAATGTTTTGAGATTTCAATTTCTATTTGTTTATCAATGTCTTTGTATTTTTTTTCTTTCATTTGTGCTTGCTCTTAGTTTCATTTGTGAGATTTCGTTACGCATTTCTTTCCAGTGATTACTTTTTATCCTACTTGTCTTTCTTTTTCTGGTTCTTCGCGGAGCGGTTTTAGTTGTACTTTCCTTGGTAATATCAATGGCGTTGTCTTTATTCAGTGTTCGTAGATATCTGCGTTCTTATTATTTTTTTAGCTCATTCCAGAATTTGAATTTTCTAAGTTCGAGGTTTTTGGTACATATATTGTTTATTTGAGTTTTTTTAACAGACAATTAGCCCTGGGGCTATACTCAAATAATTCTTTCAGTGATGCTTTATCTTCGATTTGTTTTGTTTGAACGATAATTTATGTTTTACATAGTTTTTCTATGTCGTTTGTTATTTGGCTGTTGTCATCGCTCGTTGAATGTTTATCTGTAATTTCATAAAATTTTTCTTTTAGAGTAGATAGTTTTGTATTATATTCTTTCATATGTTTGAGGATTTCATCATTTGTATTTTTGTCAGGTTTTTCTATTTTAGGTAGCATTTTCCATGGATTGTACAGTGTTTAATAGGTAAAAAAAATGAAATTGTTAGAAAGATTCTCTACAAACACTATAGACTAAAATAGAAATTGGGAAAAAAGGCATCTAATTTTTATATTTATTTATAATAAATATTTTTAAAGAGAAAAATTAAAACTTTGTTACCTAAAATTGGATTTTCAGTAGGTTTTTTCTAGAACAACAATTTCTTGTTTAATTTTTTTACTTTAACCAGTTCCACTTAGCTTATCAAAAAGTTTCTTTTTCTGTTTGTATCTCCACGTATTGACGCTTATGTTTTGAACAAATTAATAGTAACATGAACATTTTAGTAGATAACAGTACAATAAAAAAAAAGTAGGACTTAAAAGTTAGGAAGATGTAATGCAAGACAAACAGCCAACATTAAATAGTGTATCTCTCTACATAGGTAATTATATATTAAATGTTTCTAAAAAAGAAAAAAAAAAGAAAGTAAAACTGAAAACATAGAAAAATTACAGTTTGACCATTTCAATGACGCCATGTTCAATAACTCCAGCAAATGTGGGAACGTTGTAATTAATCCCAAATAACTATCTAAACATACGCAAAATAAAATTTTGAAAACATTCGAAATCGTTGTAGCACCATTTGATAATACTTTGAAAAAAAAAATAATAAAAAATAAAAATAAATATGAACTTTAATAAATTAACCAATTACATAAAACAACCAATTCGAAAATATGAAAAATTAAATAAAATATTGAATAGAATTTGTCGATATCATTCAACTAAAGAAATTTGAAACACAGAAATACACATTATATATATATATATATATATATATATATATATATATATATATATATATATATTGCCCCCTTCCCTCTTCCTTTCTATTCTTCATCTTCTGTTTTCTCTTGTTTTTTTTTTTTCTTCATTTCTTTACTCCCCCTTGTCTGTTTCTTTTTAAAATTTAAAATACTTTATTATCTATTGACTCTTCGAAAAATCCTGTGAAATTCTTGTAATTTTACAAAGTGAAAATGCTCATTTTCATAATGGTATCTTAATTCTGATTGTGTATATATATATATATATATATATATATATATATATACATACGCACATACATATTCCCACACAAACAACCACCTACCCCCATACCTACATACACACACACACACAGATATATATATTTATAGATAGATACATAGATACCTGTAAAATAAAATATGTATAGAATTTAGGGATGAAATTTATAGCTTTTTACTTCAAGCATCACCCACCCCCACACACACAGACATATATATATATATATATATATATATATATATATATATAGATAGATAGATAGATAGATAGATACCTGTAAAATAAAATATGTATAGAATTTGAGGATGATATTTATAGCTTTTTGCTTCAAGCATCACCTTCCCCCATATATATATATATATATATATATATATATATAGATAGATAGATAGATAGATAGATAGATAGATATCTGTAAAAATAAAATATGTATAGAATTTGGGGATGAAATTTATAGCTTTTTGCTTCAAGGGTCAACATTGCATCTCTTTTATAAAAACACGGCAAAAGCAATTTAAATTTTGGCGGTAGTTTTTCTGTCGTCTATATATGAGGCAAACATGTAAGGAGATGCCTCAAACATCTTTCCTATCATTTATATATGCCATCTACTTTTGTGCATTGAGTACAGCTTCTCAACAGCAATACAACCGCCGCCTCTATGGCTGTTGGTAGTAAGAGTGGTATTTGTATCGGTGTGTCCATCTTGGTTGAAGTAGAGGTGGTCACGTGTTGTCGATGGTGTGAAGTCTAAAAAGGGGTTACTTGCGGCCGTTAGATCGATCACATATTTAGCCCTATCGAGAAAGATAGTCTGTTCCTCATCAATC